CAGAGAAGGGGGCGGGGGGGCATGCAGTCTAAAATAGGAAACTGATGGATCAGTTCCGCTGTGGCTGGTTACTACCGTCCACTGTCCAGTCAGAGAGGAGTCCGCAAGCTAATTTTAAAACTCTGTGATACTCCCACAGTTGTGTGACCAACGCTGATGAGCCAAAACTTTTGTCATAATCTCTGTCTCTATCGGGAAAAGTAATACAGATTTTGCAATAACTGGGGACAGATTAAAAGGAAATAGTAATTTGCCTCCATTCTGTTCCTGCTTTTATCAAGTTCTCCAAAATTTCACATCTCTACCATCTCAAAACTACCAAGAGCCGATTCTGAAATACTAAAAGATAGCAGTCCAACTTGACAGCTGGAATAGTGACTAATTAAGATGTGAATTCTAACAATCAAACACATATGAATAAGACTAGCACTAATTGATGCATTTTGGAACTGATCCATTGCAACAACATACCGCACAGACATAGGCCAGTTAACCTAACACATATTTTTTTTTAACTGTGGGAGTACCTGGAGTCAGACAATGGAGGGGAAGAACATTCAACATCAACTAAGAAAGACCTCAGATCAAATTCAAACCCGGAGCCTTCGTGCAAGTCAACAGTGCATAGAGAAATATCAGGCAAACCATTACTAATATAATTGTTATAAGTGCAAGATTTTCCTAAGTCCTTATTTTAAAATCAGTATAATTATTCAATGTGGGACAGTGATTATGCATTGCCCAAAAAAAAAAAGTAGTGTGGAGAATATTTACAGTCTGGGCTGCTTTAGTTGAAACTGTTTTTTTTTTTTTTATCAAAAAGGTGCTGAAAACAAATGGAACAAATGAAAACAAATCCTTAACAACCAATTTTAGCTCCAAATGGGCTCTATGCACAGTTCCACTACTTCCTGAACTGAAGGCAGCTCTTTGGTTTCCTGTCTTTTTTAACCCGATGAACTGATTATTGCAGGTGTGCCTGACCTCAACAATCATGGCCAGACACACCTGGATTAATCAGTTCATCCAGTAATGAAAGACAGGATACAAAAGAACTGCCTTAAATTCAGGAAGTAGTGGAGTTCTGCATCAAAAGACAATTACTTGTAAATACTATAAAATACACAAAGAGACATTACATAAAATTCACTTTAAAAGCCAGAAAACCTTCGAAAACCCAGTTTGGAATTGGTTTTTAAATGTTAGAATATTTTTTTTTTCTTTTTTACATTAGCATAAGTTGGCTCAGTTATTCCATGGATATGAGAGGGTCATCTGAGTTTTGTTGCAGTAAAAAGGCTACTCTTACCAGCTGATGGGAAACATCTTAGAAAAGAAATTTGCATCACTAAATGGTGCTTACTGAGTGAAATCAGGACAAAACGTATAACATTTCAACCTGGAAATAAATTATTTTCCTGTTCACTAAATTGTTTAATACAACTAAGAAACTCCAGCCTGACATTTGCAGGTCTGTTATCGTACATTTCCTTTCGGTAGCCATAACAGCTCTGGAGAAGGAACTGATCCAGTAAGATCCAAACCTGGCCTTTAATAAAGAGCGTCAAAAAACTACAAGATACATATGCATGCAAAAGTATAATTATTTTTGATTACAAAAATAAAAGATTGCATTCAGCTTACAACTGAAATGCTCACTTTGTGTTTGTCAATCTCAAAGCATTCTAATAAAGTACACTGATAGTGGTTGGGATAGGATAAAGACAGACTTCTTGTTTTTTCCCTTTAAACCAGTTTTTAAATGAGATATTTCAATATAAAAAAATACAATAAAGATATTCCATTATATTGCACATTTTCCTTACTTACTACACAAAAGCTGATGGACATCAACTCAGTAAATGTATAGACCTGGAATAATTTCCACAGAAAGTGTTTATTAAAAAACATCTCATCGTAGAACTGAGGTGGTGCATCTTGTGAACATTTCATTCCCATTCTATTTAAAAACTGCAAAACTGAAATGGAGATAAACTAAAGTTTATAAATTAAAACACTGTTCTCAGTCTGATTCTGATCTAATCTATGCCACAAAAGAGGAGGATGTTTTCTTTAAATTTGTTTGTAAAATGGCATCTTAGAAAAATCCAAGCCTTCAAGGGTTGCCAGATCAAAACATCTGTACTCTATAAGACTGACCATTTTAATAGATTAGCAATAGGCAGCAGCCCGTAGCTAGAGTAGAACCATATAAATTAGCTTCAAAAGAAGACTACATATGAGAAAAGATAAACAAAAACACTAAATAGAGCCTTGTTTGCTTGTTCCTTTTTATAACTTAAGCACTATTGGCAGATGTGCTGAGGATGAACATACTTTAAATGGTTATGTTCAGCTTATATTGCGAGTTGGCACACTTTGCAAAGAGAACGAAGTGTGTTAACCGACAAAAGTGTTTAAAATTTCAACTTGTCTCCACCCAGTCCACGCTCCCTCAAGGAAATCACAGAACAGCAAGTTTGCAAGTCAGCTGCTCTCAACTTTTTGGGTAACACTCAAGACTCTGTATCTGTTTATGGATTACAGTCCTAACAGATGAAGTCATGCGGATACACGTGCAAATAACGGCTTCTCATGCTACAGTGGATAAATCAGCCACGTCATTTTTTTTTATTTTTTTTTTTTTTGTATGTTTTACATTTAGGATCTGATACCTAAATCAAGCTAAACACAACAGGTTCCAAAACCAGGTCACACTTGTGCTTACATCTCCGAGGAGAAAAAGTCTGCGACTTTAAGACACTGTTACCATGGTGAGTAAAGAGTGTGTTTATGTAGCCAGTGAATCTGGCCATTACTCTCCTGTGGGACTCTGGTGTTGGTGTGTTCACCGCATTGATAAACCTACACAATCTTTGCACTATGGCAACCATTTAAAGAAGTTAATCTCACATCCGAACTTATGCAACTTGATCTTTAAAGTAGAGATGCTGCAAAAAAAAAAAAAAGCTAGTGACTTGAATCAGATGATTTAATAATTGATGAGTTATGGCTAGCGGTCTACTAATCAGAAACTAAAAAACACTGCCTTAAAAAAGAACAACAATCAAAAATAAACAATATAAGAGCTAGCTGATTGCACTGAGAACCATTTGTGGAATGAAATTTGTGTGTGGAATTAACGACGGAAACAAAATTAATCTACTGTTTTGTGTTTTAATGAACTGTTTGAGGAAGCAGCACAGAGGTACTGGAAGCTTTAAGAAAACTACAGGAAGCGGAAAAAATTACAGTAAAACAGCAGTTTTACCACTTCTGAAAAGTAATCTGATCTGTTACAGTTCATGCTGCATTAGGAAATGTGTGCAGACTTTTGAGAGGATCACAGTTAGAGTTCATTAAATTTACAGGCAATCCATACTGGGTCTGGTTAGCAATCACAATAATCACTAAGATGCTATAGAGAGTTTGAAATGTGAAGTCTGCAGTCCTGTTTGTTTGGTAATATCACTTGAATTGTATTTTTTTCTAACTAAGCTGTCTTGCAGAATACTCTTCTGATACTGCCTCTGGTTCAGATATAAAGAGGCACAAATGGCACTTAAGGATTACTTTACATAGGTAAAAATTTATATACATACTCTAAGACAGTCAAAATCTGAAATCAAAACCTTGTGAGGTGAACATTGCATTTTCAATTGTGCCAAAGAGGCGATTTTGCAAACTCTTGTAAAGAAAATTAGATATGCAGCAACAAACCACCTTTGAGATCTGAAATTGTGGGTCAATTTAGAAAAATTGCTTTTTTAAATCGCTATAATAGTTTTGCTGTGACCTAATTTATGAATCTAGAAAGTATTTTATTGGTATTTCCTGTTTTTAAGAGAAAACTGAATGGGAAAACCTTGCTCATGATTGTAGGATGGGAACAAACAGTGAAGCCACCTAATAAATATAAATAGGAAGGCTTGGGAAAGCAGATGTGAGAGTCAGAAACTGCACTCCTTCAGACTTTTCATTTAGCTGTGACCATATGTAGTCATCTGTCCGCAATAACAAGAAAGGAATCGGAAACTTTTACGCCTGTGAGGAATCACTGGGTGTCATCATCCTCTCAGTGACACTCCCTCCCTCCCTCCCTCCTGGTTAATGGGGGAGACACCGGGCAGATCTGTACATCTGAACCGGGCCAGGCAGAGAGAGAGACAGCTGCTGGAATGGGGATGCAAGTGTAGCTGGCGGGTATAAAGTTTCCCTTCCCAAAGGCATGCATACCTAAGACGACCCTTGTTTGCACTCACGCTCCAGAGTGCAATGCAGTGCTTTATTTGCATACGAAACGAGCCACGCAGGCAGACACAACAAGAAACCATTGCCATGAACAAAATAAATAAATAAAATACATTCAAATAAAAACATGCACAGTGCAGAGATCATTTTACCCCAGCTACACACGGAGGTCCTGGGCGTGAACAAACTCCAGGTGTCGACGCAGCTAACGTTAGCCTAAACGGCTAGCTGCTCCCAGCCCCGATTCCTAACAAACCCGCAATAAATAAGGATAAAACGAGTAGTAGGAACATTTTCAGTAACGTGCATCCAGTTTACAGAATTATTCTGGGCCTTTTCTTCACACTTAAAAAAAAAAACGCTTCTGAACGCTTTTAAACATTTAAACCGAGACATTTTATGGGACTGTTAGGGAAAACAGACTGGTTAAATGCCGGTAAAGTCCCCTAAGAATCATAGCATCTTTATTTTTAGGACATTTTTCATTTCATGGATGGTAAATCAGCAAAAACCAGCGATAATGTTACAGTGAAGCTTTATTACCAGTTGGATAGCCGAGAAAACAGCAATCCATGAGGCCCAATTAAACCACCATTTATACTGGAGACATCCATGCAGCGTTTAACCGGAGGATTTATGAATACATATCCCGGGTTAAATCCATCCACAGCCCCACTGTAACGACCGAGTTGTTACACTATCCCAGGTTTGGAGCAGTGCGCTTTGATTCCAGCCCGGGTGAGACTTACCTTGCTTGCTCTCTATTTTTCTCGACATTTTCGTCGCCAGCAGCAGCGGCAGCTGTGATCCCCGCTCTCAGTTCAACAAAAACGGTAGCTGCAGACGAGCCTCGCCGCGCGACTCCTCCGATTATTCCCTCATTTTCGATGTCCCGCCTCGTCCATGAGATGATTCCGTTGGGTTTGAGGCGTTGTATTTACAGGACAGAGACATTTGTACGGTTAAAAACGGTCTCTGTCGGTCTTCGGGTGATTTTCACTCACTGGGTATATACACACACACGCACCCGCGCGGACGGCACACGTTAATCCCCTGATCCCAGACTCTGGAATAAGAAGAAAAAAAAGGGGGAAAAAAAAAAAAAATCTTATAGAACAGTACCCCCTGGTGGTAGGAATTAACAACGTGTGCGTCCTCAGCGTCATTGGTCTGTTTTTTACTTGAACATAAATAAATGTGGTGCTTAAGGAGTACATTTTTTGCATTTAAAATTCCCTCGTACATACAAGGCTTTACTGTACGGAGAGAGGATTAGGGCCACTGAAAAAAAAGTTACTGATTTTAAAATTTTATTTCAGTTTAATATGGGGAAAAAATGTCAGAATTCTGACATTAATCTCAGAATTCTGACTTTAATCTCAGAATTCTGACTTTTTTTCTCACAATTCTGACTTTTTTTCCCTCACAATTCTGACTTTAATCTCAGAATTCTGACTTTTTTTCTCACAATTCTGACTTTTTTCCCCCTCACAATTCTGACTTTAATCTCAGAATTCTGACTTTAATCTCAGAATTCTGACTTTAATCTCAGAATTCTGACTTTTTTTCTCACAATTCTGACTTTTTTTCCCTCACAATTCTGACTTTAATCTCAGAATTCTGACTTTAATCTCAAAATTCTTACTTTTTTTCTCACAATTCTGACTTTTTTTTCCTCACAATTCTGACTTTAATCTCAGAATTCTGACTTTTTTTCTCACAATTCTGACTTTTTTTTCCTCACAATTCTGACTTTAATCTCAGAATTCTGACTTTAATATCTGAATTCTGACTTTTCTTTTTCCCATATTAAACTGAAATAAAATTCAAAAATCTGTTACGTTTTTTTCTTTTTTCAGTGGTCCTATTCTCTTCCGTATTACTGGGTTTCACCAGAAGAAAGAATATTTTAGTTTTCTTATTGAAATAGCAAAATAAAACAAACACAAAGATAATAATAAGGCATATTTAGGTAAGAGTATTTACCTTACTTAAGCTGACATGTGCTTTGAAATATGCATATATATTCCATTTATGGCCATTTAAAGATATCATTATAACCCCACAGAAAACACCTACAGGCATCAATCAAAATGTTTTTTTATTAAATTGATTTACACATTTTTTAACAATATATTAACATTTAGAGAACCTGTAATTGACTGTAATAGTATTCCCACATCAGAGTTCAGGGTTAATGAAAAAAACAAAAACAAAAAAAACCCCAACAAAAAACACTGTATATATTCTGGTCTACATCACAGGTTTTTATTGCTGCATTTTCTGCATCAAAAGGTCAGAGGTTTTTGGACCCATGTTTGAAAATAATGGTTTTAAAGGTTTTTCTTTAAAAGCACACAATTCTCTAAATTCCTCTATTTATAATATATATGTTGAGCACAAGACAATGATGGACACTCATTGTTTGACCTCATAGAAAAATAACATTCTGAAGACTTAAAATTAACCTTAAATATCACAAGATATCAAATACAGATTGAACCAGTTATTAAACAAAGCTGAAAAAACACAAAGCTATTTTATGTTTTATTTAAACAAAAAACTAATGCACATCTCAAACCTCGGCCATGACGTAGGAAGAAATTATGTGAGCATTATCCTAGTCATGGCTGTACCCCATAGTTAAAACAATTTATTTTAGAATTTAAGAATTTTAAAAGGAAAATCTTTTTACGGCGTCAGTTTTTAAAACAAGGTTTTACAGTAACAGACTAATGTGTTCCCACTTTCAGTGCTGGTGTGCCCCATGAGCTTTTACCCCAGAGCAGCAATTTTTCTGCTAAGAAATTTTCTCCGAACAGATTGTACTTGATTAAACTGGCAAAGGCCCCAGCTGCTCTTTGTGCAATACAATTGCATTAGCTCCTGTTATATTTTTGTTGCTGCACTTTTTCAACTTGAAATGGATTAGAAAAAAAGTCATTGTGTAATGTTTCACATTGCACAATAAACAGGAAACTAAGCCATTATCAAACATAAAGCTTCCTGTAATGAATCCCATTTTATCTATCTGCACTTATATCTTCATTTGAACAATTACGCAATGTTTTTTTAAGCTGTTTTTTATATCATCACTTGCTTTGATGTCTAGAAAATAAAAAAAGACATTGATTGTAGAAAGAGAGCAAAACATCTGATTAAACTTAAATTTTTGTAGACTTCCTGAACCATGACGCTTGTCTTTTTGATGCTGCACATTATCCTGGCTGTTAGGGAGCGTACATCAGGTTCATGTCTCTCACATGTAAAGTAAACATTCAATGTCATCCTTTTTTATGAATAATTGATCCGTCTGATAGAATGATTTTAGTTCCCTGAGTGATCTGGGTCAGCATGTACTCCTGCAATGTACTTCTGAAAGCAGAGGCATGCCTTGAAAGGCCGAGATAAGGAGTTCATTATGGGGTGTTGGATGCTTCTCTTTCCAAGGCTTGTGCGGCTTACCCCATCATCTGCTGTTTTTAATCAGTTATCAAACCCAGGCGCTGAGTGTCAAGGGTTTATATTTAAACTGGCTGTCATTATGCCTTCTTCTTCATGTTATTGCTTGCACAGCACAAACCACACCCAGAGTGCAAAGTGCTTGTTGTTTGTGCACGAGGGAGAGCAGTGTGGGTGTGTTTGTTGTGCAGGGGGAGGGTGAGGAAGGAGTGAAATACCTTACCTGAGGCTACGTAAAAGCTCACTGCAGAAGGAGTAGGAACTGCTGAGTGGTAAAAGACTAGTTGGGACAGGATGAAGAGGCATAGGTAAAGGAAAAAAGTCCCTTACTTAAAAAAAAAGTCCCACCTTTAAAACGAAAAACCCTAACATCTTTTAAACATATTGGTTGCCAGATGATAATTGTTTTTTTTTTTACATTGATGTTTCTCAAAGATTCACTTGAGCAGTGTGACATGTTTTTACCTGTTGTATGTTTTTGGGTTTTTTTTCGTTTTCAGGCCCTTTGCAAAGCGGCAATATTCCTTTTCCTGTCGGTCAAACTTTCAAATGCCTTCAACTGATGTTTAAAGCATGAACATGGAGAAATTTCAGGTGTCATGTGCCATATTCAATATTTTGGAGCATGTCTTTGCTTTTGGCACTTGCATGTTAATTGTATCGCTGCATAAAACTTTATAAATTCAGTTTGGTTTATATTTATTTCTCCTAAAAGCTGGTATCCTGTTTATTGTAATTTCATTTTAATAAAGATATGCTTTCCACTGTCGTCTCAATCCCTATATTCTCATTCAAGATGGCTGCTCTGACTAGGGCTGGATTTGCTAAAGGTCTCGCTCAGAATAAGGGATTGCTGAAAAGGTATTGACTCTATACAGTTGACTGGACTGATATATGAAGAGAAAAATCTAAACATTTCCTGCAATTCGTTCATTGTCTAAATGCATCCCTGACCGGTTTCTAAATGCTCTTTTTAATATAATTTTCTTTTTTGAAAATGACACGTTTCAAAAGAAAAATGTTGACTCAATTACAATTGATGTAAAGATGATATCCGGAGCCTTTTTACTTTCCTTCTCTGACTGTTACCATTGGAACGGTGCATGCATTTTTTTGTCACTTCTGCAAACTCTGACTTCACCTAAACAAGGAAAATCTAGAAAAGTCAAATCAATCATATTGTTTAAAAATGAACTAATTGAACTGAAGGAGACTAAATGCTTGAGATAAATAATAATAAAAAAGAAAATCACAAAATATCAATTAAAGTGGTATGGGTGTTCCCAGTGCAAGAAAAAAAAGTTAACCAAAAAAATACTTATCAACTGCATCTTTGTATAGGAAAGAAGTAAATTATTATTAAAAAGTAAATTATATATTAAATATTTTAATAAAACTATATTTTCATGTGTACTTCTTTTACTCCAAGCCAAACAAGCCTAATCCCAACAAGACTTAAGTGAAAATAATGTTTTTATTCAGCTTTATCCTCTTTCGTCGCCATCTAATGTATTTATTTAACTTTTTTTTAAATAACAGTAGTTTCTAATAGTTTACCCAAACTTTTGTATACCAATTTCTTTCAAATAGCACAACAATAGTAGATTGGTTTTGAAGTGTGTTAACTTAATCCACCAAGTTCCCCAGGTCTGATAAAATCATATTCGATCAGACATATTTAAAAGTTTAGGTTTAATAGTAATAGAGTTACCGACTCCATGAAAATGATATAAGGGATCCTGCTTGGCCAGGCATAGTCTTCAATCATACCAACATTTATGAATTTATTTTTGCTTTTTTTGTGAATGAATAGATTTTTAAAAAAAAAAAACATTTAAATTGAACGTAAATTAAATTAGACAACTGCATTTGTTTCTTTACAATGGACAGTTTATTTTTTTTAAAGGGACAGTTGGTAACCCTAACTATTAATAATATCAAAATAATGGATAATGGTATAATTCACTATAATCTGAAATCACTAAAATCCAAAGTGGCTCTCTGCTGCCACCTGTTGGTTACACAGAGCTATTGCAAACTAGACGCTGCATTTTTTAATTTAACCACTGGGTGGTGCTCATGAATTATAGATCTCAAAAAACCAAACTGCTGTCGTTTAACAGTGGATGCAAGTAAAATGACAGAAAAGGAGTATGCAAATAAAATGTAGTTAGAGAGGAATAGTTGCAGATTAAGTATTACTTTCTTGATGAGATTGCAAACAGTAAATGTAATGCTGATAAGGTGTCACCTCAATTTATTGCAAATTTATCACCAAATAAATCATATCCAAAAAAAATCATGTAATCAAATAGGCCTACTAAATGTATTTTAGTTTCATGGTGGTGCACAGTGGGAAGATTCCCACTGGGCCTGGAGTCCGCTGTGGGTTTAATGGAGTTCCTGGAAGAGTGACAAAGGAAAGGAGAAAAAAATGAGTTTAGTTAGCTGGGAGAAGAACGGTGTCTGATCTCTAGAGCAATGGGCCTATAGGATGCAGAGCTCAAACACAGTTTAAGGCTCTGTTAACCTTGGCCAGTGGTCAGGCCCCTCCGTCTGTCACACACCCATGACTTGGAGACAGAGGGGTTGGATCAGTAAGGCTTAAATGCCT